TGCTGTCTTTAGTGATGCTGTTCCTTCCAGTCACTGGAACGTCAAAACAAAACATCCCGAGATTGAAGCTTTCCTATAAAGGTAAACTTTTCAGTATTTTTTTTTCTGATTCTGTTGCTTTTGTTTTGATGTGATGTTGCCAGGAGTTCATTTGTATTACTTACCAGGAAAGCAGAAGACAGTCCCAGAAATACATAATAGAAGCCTTAAGGATGGATGAATTCTTCCTAGGGATGGTATTAAATTCTGGGGGGTTTTTGTCATGTAGAGGCACGTGTTTCTGAAATATAATTGTCTTTGTAAACTATTATTTCTGTTTGCTCCAAGAGGATATTAACAGACTACATAAATTAGAGGGGAGTGGTACTTGAAACACTCTGAGGCGCATTGGAGACATTTCCATGTGGTTGGTGGGGATATGTGAGACATGGAGGACGTTCACACCTTCCTAGAGCATCAGAGAAAGTCAAGAGAGAGCTGCCTCAAGTGTTTCAAGGGGGCTGACATTTATTTTTGTAATTCTTTTTCTATCACAGTGTTGGTATGTTAAACCTTCATAAGTGGTTTTCTTTCTCCTTGCCTCTTTGGATCACAAAAGCACGTTTCTCTATGGAATTTATTAGTCTTGTGTGTGGTTCTGTTGAGAATGGTACCATCTGAGGGGTTTCAACCCAGAGATATTTATGTATTAGTGGACAGTTTCTAAAAGAAGGTAGATTTCTTGTTGCTTTGAATGCAGAGTACACCTCCATAGGCACAGAGATGTGTCAATGATGCTGTCTTCTTAGCTAAAGCAAATGCTCTCCAGTTAGTTATGTTTCAGCTATGTCAGCACCCTGCCCTTATAGGAGCTATTTCTGCTCTGTTTTTCAAACTTATGTCTTCTATGTGTTGCTGAATTGCACTCATGATGGTGTGATGGGGTAGGCTGTAAAGCCTTCATCAGGGCTTATGATACGTTTATCATGAGTTTAACACCCAGAGGAATTTATTGAGTAAGCAGAATGACATGTTATTTATTTACAAGCTTCTCTTTTGCTAGATTTGCATGCCACTGCACGTGCTATTCCACTGTGTATAGATGTGTTTGGATGTGTTTGTGTCAGAGAGAGGGAGGAAGCAAGATCAAGGGATCTTGACAACATTTTTATAAATTCAGGAAACAGTTGCAGTCACTGAAGCCAATGAATACAGAAACTGAAAGACATGACATGAGTTATGAAAGTTAGCAGTAAAACCCTCCTAACATACAGGCAGCCTTCTCGCAACTAGGCCTTTTGAGATAATTCCCAAAAGCAGCATATACCATATGGCAATGGCATTTATTATGGATTTGACACTCCCGATTAGTGAATTCCTCTCAACTTCAAAAGCAGATAGCCTGTGGCAAAATCCTGATGGATGCATTTGGCAGGTAAAGAAGGGGAGAAAGAAAAATTATTGAGGTCAACACAGGAAAGAAAGAAATGGCTGAAATCTTAGTTTAAAATAGTGGCAAAGACCTGCTGGGAGCGGTTGGGAAAATGCCTGAGCTCATTTAAAAAGACAATGAGCAGATGATTGATATTTAGGCCCTGACCCAAACTTTTATTAGCGACTTTATAAACCTTTCAGTTTGGCTCGAGGGATACTGTTTCCTGTCCAAACGTATCCACCTATATCCCTGTAGGGGGGGAAAATCAACAACAGAAACAGATGCAAAATAGCACATAAATCTTAATTTGGAGAGCTGTGATGGAACTGAAAAGCCAGAAGAAAGAGAATTATGATAATTTATTGTGCCTTGTCTTACTTTTTGGGAGGGTGGAAGGTGTGTAGTTTTCCACATGGAACAAGAAAATACACACTGCTGTTTTTCACACTTCTGTATTATAAATTATACCACTATGGCTTATCATAATTAAACAATATTTTTGTTGTTGATAACAGGATGTCAGATGTACTAAATATTTAATAAACTTGTCAGAATTAAATCTACCTTCCTTCCCCCAAGTGTTTCAGACAAAATAATTCCATGGTTTCTGTGAGTAAGATGTAGGAGAAATGAACTGTCTTGCCAGTTCTCATGAAATTGTTCGTCATGTCACTGACAAGTCCTGGCATCTTTATTCTTTGGAATTAAGACTTGAAATATCATGAAGACGATATTCAGGTTCTTTCCCTTCTTTGTGGAAAACAGACGAAAAATGGCAACACCGGGCAGTTCCAAAAACCTGGTCACTTGCGTGTCTTTGAAGGGAAGGTTTCATTCCCTTCAAGGTGCAGTGTGTTTATGGCATAGGTCCATCTTCCCAGAAGAGCTGAGCTTTTGCTGGGACAGGAGAGCTGAAAGTAAGCAAGGTTTTGCTCCGCAGTTACTGAATCTCCCAGCTGCATCAGTCAGTGGTGGATGGGGAAGAGGGAGAGGGTGGGGTAATTAAAGATGTGTCTATAACTGCAGGAGTGCTTCAAGAAACCACAGCATGTCACAGCTCCTTTGTGTTCAGACAGCAATTAAAATCTTAGACCTTCTCTTAATGGCAGTTACAGGTTTTCATGTTCTCTGGGTTTTCATCTTAAGAAGTAGAAATCTGTGCTGGAAATGCTAAGATAGTCCAGTGAGTGATGTGGGGATCAATGCAATGCCATACGATGGATTTCCTTTATTGTGTGCCCCAGTCTAAAAATGTGTTCTAAAAATTTGTACATGCATAAAACTAAAACTACACACAATTCAATTGAAATATGTTGTAATACAGAATCAAAGTAATATATTCTCCACCTTTAGTTGATACACTAGACTTAATTTTAAAGATTGGTTCATGTCATTACTATCTCAGAAATTGTCACTGCTCTTGTGATGGTTTTAGGGTGCTCTCACTGCATAGATCTTATTTGATCTATGTATCTTAGATACTTTTACAAGTTTGAGCTGCTTTTATCATTACGTTACAGCTTTAATATAGGGAGGAGGTAACAAACTGTCTTCTCATAGAAGATTGTCATCTTTAGAAAACCAGGGGGTGATTTTTGAGTAATAGTCCTTATTTTAATACACTTTGTCTAGCACTGCTTTCAGTCTAAGAGAAACAGTGTGTATTTTTGACTCATTTTTATGCAGCTGGAGATAACCTGTGACCTTCATCCAAAGTGCAGAACTCCTCAAGTGTGCACAGAAGTGATGTTCAGTATCCCTAAGCAGCACATCCTCCTTGTCTGCCTCATTTAACATGTTCATTCCAACCGCTAGAGCAGATGCAGAAGGTTTTCATATATCGGTCGCATTCATTAATGTCATTTTCAGGACAGCATCACTTACTAAAGAATCGAAGGGTCTGTGTCTTAATTCATATATGTTTAATTCATACAGTATAGACAGTCTTGTTTCTGTTTATCTTCTGAGTAGTAATCTTTTTAAATTAAGTGGTAGGTACTTGCACACATATTTTCTGAGCATTTCTCTAAGTTCTGCTTTATAAGGAAGAGTAGAGAACAGCCAAACCAGAAGGTTGATTGCCTTCTAAGGAAAAGAAAACAAAAATTAAACGTTTTTCAATTTGTAGCTATCCTAAAATTTCCCTGCAGAAATGCAGATTCCGAATTGCAAATTTAACTCTATTGATTTGATTTACTTTGCTGCTTTTCATGGACATCTTAGTTAGTGTAGTCTTTGTTCTCAGTGAATGCATTTATTTTACAAAAGTGTGCAGCCTGGTTTATTGGCGGAGGGGGATGCCTGAGCCCAGATTTGGATGGTGTCACCAGTGACATCCACAAACATATATCATTCCCATGTGGGAATATGGCCATGCCCCAGAGCAAGCCTTGCTTGCTGTGAACAGTTGTGACTTGGTCAGAGGACCTGGAATCCTCCATTGTGACACAATACATACGAATAAGCACGACTGAAGGTAACCTTTGGCTTTTAGAACAGGATTTACGTAGCACTGTTAAAAACAACTATGGTAGTAATTTAAATCTAATAAACAAGACCAGTATGCTCAGCTGATTTGTTTTTCTCCACATTGAATGAATTGAGATGCAGTCTCACTTCCACTGAAGTCATGGCAAGTGTTTGGCCACTGAAGTAAATTGAAGCTAGATCAAATTCACACTCCTCACTTTTTTCATCTTACATAAGTAAACTAAAGACAGGCAGTTCTTTCTTCTCTGCTGAAGGATGACAGTGCTAAATCATCAGCTCCACACGGAAATTAGCCACGTTTAAGGATTGTTTAGTTTCATGCAGTGTTTTGCACACAGGATTTTCTTCCCCCAAAGAGTGATCTGTTCTTTAAATATGATGAAAAAGCAAACAGAGAACATATTGGTGCCAGGAATTCTTTTGAAAATGAAACTATTCTGCTGAGTGTTCACTTTATTAAATCTTGGAAAATGAGGGGAAACAAAACTGAAAGAGTGACGAATTTTTGCTCCCTTGTAGAAAGAAGGCTGGGATAACATAAAAACCAGTTTTCCTAGAAGAACGGGGGAAGATACATGATAAGAGGCATCAGCTTGGAAGACAGTTCAAAACTCTTTGACTGATTTTACTAATGACATCTCTTAAGCAGGTCCAATTCAGAGCAGTTTCAGAAATCCCAACATTTTTCTCCTTCTGTGCACTAGTGAGAGTGCATGATCTGCCTGACATCAGTGTCTGTCTAGCAGTGGACATCTGTGGTCACTATAAGAACGGCAGTGGAAGTGACAGAGAAGGCAGTCCTGTGACTGCAGATGAAGAAGAGGATGATGCCATTGAAGGGAATGGTGACATGAAGGTGGAGGAAGGCAGTGATGTTTATAATGACTTAAAGAAGGATGAAGGATGGAATGATGGGAATGTGCCAGGAGATAATACTGTTGAAGGACCTGAAGAAGAGTCTGGCAACATTACTGAAAAGGCAGAAGACCTGGATGAAGTAGATGAAGGAGAAAACAAGGATGTACAGGTGGAGCAGGACAAGGACGCTGGAAAGGAAGAAGAAGATGGAAATGCAGAATACGCTAAAGTTGCAAATATGAAAACAGGCAACACTGACGATATGAATGAAGGTGAGGACAACGTAAATGGACAGGAGGTATACACACATGTCAACGTGCAGGAAAACAGTGATGCCAGCGAACAGGAAGTATGCACGGATGTCAAGGTGCAGGAAAACTGTGATGCCAGTCAACAGGAAGTATACACAGATGTCAACGTGCAGGAAAGCAGTGATGCCAGTGAACTGAGAAGCAGGGATTGCACTGGGCAGGAAGATAGCGGTGAACTTGGGAATGAAGCTGCCCATAGTGCCTTTGCTGAAGCTGAGGAAGAAAATAAGGAAGTTTCAGAAGAAGATGGCAATGATAGAAACAAGGCTGAAGAACAAGGTGATGTGAAAGTGGAGGAAAACAAGGAGGAGAGAAAAGAAGACAAACAAGGTAATGTGGCTGCCAGTGAAAATGAAGACAGTGATGGTGACAAGCAAGAAAGCAGCAGTGGTGGAATTGAAGACGAAGACACCGAAGATGCTGGGAATGAGGGAGCCATCCTTTTAGTTGACGGCATAGAGTGGCCTGTGGAGGACCTGGAGAGAGGCTGCTCAGTGACAGCTGAGCTGATGGAGAGCTTCACGCGTGTCTTTGTGGACAGCGTGAGCAATAGCTTCTACCCAGTGCCTCAAGAAGCCATCGGTGTGGGCAGTGCCTTTGAGGGCTGGAGTCCCCGCGAGTGGGATGGGGTGTACCGCGTGCTGGTCCCACTGAATCCCCCGCCAGGGCACGCCTTCCACCTAGAGCTGAACAGCGCAGGGCAGATGGCAGCAAGGACCTTCAATGTCCGCGTGGAGCTGGTGTGCACGTGCAAGAGGGAGCAGCTGGGCGAGAAGCTGTTGTGCTTCCTGCACGACTCGCAGGAGGAGCTGTGGCGGAAGCACAAGCGCAGCCTCCTAGAGACACTCTGCACCGGCTCCTACCTGGATGTGGAGAAGACCTCCCACTGGTTCCACCAGCTGGTGAGATGTTAGTGGCTCCATGTGCCTCATTTATACTCATGGCACTTGGTGTTTCAGCCCTGCAGCCGGTCCTGCCAATTCCAGCTGAGCAAAGGCAAGAAGAGCCTGATGGTGGAGATGCTCTTTGGGGTGCGCCAAGGGGACTCCGACATCTTTGTGGTCAGCCAGCCCACAGAGGCCCAGAAAGGTGCCTCCATCAACTTTGTGAGCAGTCAGCCTGCCAAGGCCAACATCATTGCAAGCACAGCGTGGCCTGAGACGTACGCTGTGGCAGAGGCGAAATTCTTCCAGCACATCGCCAGGAAGCTGCCATGTCACAGCTTGCATCTGAAATGCCTGCAGGTCTTCACCTGCATCCTGAGGGGCACAGGGTTTTCCAGCTCTACCTGGAAGACTGTGGTCATGCACGTGCTGACCACAGTACCCGTGTCCCAGTGGCGCAGGCGGGAATTTGAACGGCGGCTGTGGGATGTCATGGCGTACCTGCACCGCTGCCTGCAGTTGAAACGCCTGGAGCACTTTGTGCAAGGCAGTGAGAGGCTTCCTGCAGAGATCAGCTTGCCGCCGGCAACGCGAGGGGTTGAGCCGCTCAACCTCTTCGAGCACCTGGCTCTTGATCCGGCCACCCACAGGGAGGCGATGCAAGCTTATGGCCAGCTGCGATATCGCCTCTGGATGATGCTCTCCAGCCACTGAGAGGAGTTCCCTGCACAGAGCTGTGCTGGAGGCATCACACCCGATGGCAGCCACGTGAACTCTGCACAATTGTTGCATTTGTCACTGGCAATCCCGAAGCTGCTTTCCTGCTCCTGCGGAAGGAAGATGCTGCAGCACGTGGATTCACTGTGCAGACGCGTCTCGGAGTGGCCTTGTCCTTCACCTTCCAGTTAAAACGGTGACCAAGTCTGTGAGGCAGAAACTGGCTCCACCTGGACATCCTCACGGAAGACAGTGAAGCTGACAGAGGTTGCTTGGAACACCTCGAAGACAGCAACCTATCCTGTTAAGAGATTTAATGTAGTTATTTAGTTGTAGTTTAGTGCAGTAATATAGTTTAGTATCTGTACTTTAGTTGTAGTTGTAGCTGTCGTTGCAGCTGTAGCTATAGCTTTATTTGTAGTTGTAACTGTAGCTTTAATTAGAATTATTTATTAGCATTCCTTCTAGAAGCCCTTTAGTGTTGACAGTTTTGCAAAATTACCCTTAGTTTAGAGAATTGAACTACCCTTCTGTAGTGCCTTGTCTGCTTTTAAATAATATTTGAATATCTATGTTTGAAAAATTAATAAAAGGAGATAAGTTTATCAAATTGCCTGAAATGTATCATTCTTTCTATTTAACCCTCTGCATCTTAGAGGATGTCCTTCCTCTACCCTTATCTGAAATAAAGACTTTACAAACAGAGATGTTGGCTATATTAAGTATGCTGTCTCTCAAGAACTCCCGTAGAAATGCTTGAAGCTTGAAGTAAAAATGCCCTGAAGTGCCTGAAATTTTGCATTAGAGTACTCCTGAAGTTTTTAGGAATCTTTGGAAAAGTTTTCTTTCCAGAGTCACTTTTATACACTCCTGGGGAACAATTCCGTCCTAAAAAATTGAGCTGCCCTGGTAGAGCTGCCCTTCAGTAATCTACATGTATATGTGAGAAGAAATAACAAGAGGAGAAAAGTTTCTCAAATTGCCTGAAATGTGTCCTCCTTTTTATTTAACCCACCATTTCTTAAAGAACATCCATCCAGTGCAGCTACCTGAAAAAATGACAAAGTGGACAAAGTGACTCAAACAATGATCGTATTCATCAGTCACTTCTTGATATTCCACTTCCGTAGCACTTTAAAGCAGGGCTATTAATTTTGCCTCTTGAATTCAAGCAGAAGTCATGATGGTCGAAACAGCTAAAATATTAATTAATCAATCCTCCCACTATCATTATAGAAGATCCCCCTCCTTCAGGTCATGGAAAAGAAAGCTGCTGTGGCCCATGTCAGAGAGGGAAGCCTGCTGTGGGGACAGGAAAAAGAAGCTCCCTGTGGGGAGAGCAAGCAGGAACCTCCCGAAGCAGGATCGCTGCCAACAGCAGAACTCACTGCTCCACTGATAGAGAACTGTGCTCGCAGATGTCCCTGCCTTTTGCCTTCTTTGCTGGGCAGGCACTGCCCCCACCACAGCCTCTTTGGCCCTGCTTGTGGAAGGAGGAGAGCGCCCTCCCTGCTCCGCTCCCCCCAAACACACACACACACTTTGTTCCCCTCTGCTCTGCCCCCAAGTGCAGAGATCTCCCCTCTCCCTTGCCCCAGTTCCAGTGCTCATCAGCCCTTCCACAAGGACATGTGCAACACCTCGATCTCTGTGTGTCATTGAGCCTGACCACACAGCTTGTGTGGGCTCTGGAACACTGCTTGGGGTCAGGGAGAAACATGGCCCCCATGGCTTCCTGCTGCACAATCCACCCAGGGCCAGAATTATTGCAGGTGGTTAAACTGCAGGTCTGGCTGTGAGTTTTGATGCTGTGTCTGTGAGGGGCATGCTGAGGGAAGGGAGGCTGGAACATACAGCTGTTCAGTGTTGTCACTGAAACACTACTGTGCAACTCAGGTGCTGATTTTTACTGGGGTAGTATGCAGTAATACTAGGATGGAAATTGAAAGCAACCCCTCACATCTCCCCAGCCAATCACTGCCTTGCTAACAACCGGCACTCAACCAACATTCAACTGCATCCAATCAGCTCTCTGTTCATATGGCCCTCACATCTCCCCAGCCAATCACTGCTTCTCTACCAACCGGCACTCAACTGACATTCAAGTGCTCAACCTGCTCTCACCCGGCCTGCAGCTGAGCCCTCCCGGAGTGCCTGTCGGTGAGCAGAATTTAACAATTTTAATAGATTTAGCAAAGGCTGAATGGAGCAAGGCCTGGTGTCAGAGGCGCATTCGAGAAAGCAGCTTTGAGTAAAATGAATCACAGCCAGAGAACCGTCAGCGCGTGCCAGTAATGTCAGAAGAGCTCTTGGGTCAGATCAGGGTTTTCTGTAGGCAACTGTCCCTTGGATTTACTGAAGAAAATCCCTTACAGGTTGGACACTGAAATCCACCAGAAAATTCACATTTGCTCTGAGTGTGAAGCCAAGTCCTTTCTTCCTGCTTCCCTCATCAGCGAAGCACAACCTGAGTTAGAATTTAAAACTGTTGTGCTCTGTACAGCTGCTACCAGAGAGGATGAGCAGAAGAAGCTGGAAAACCTGCTGCTGTCTTCAGGTTTATTATGGAAATAAGAAATGTCATGGAAAATCTTACGGGTATTAAAAGATTTGTCAGGTTGACAATTACCACTCCCTAAGTTGAAATAAAACTAGATATGGTCTGACTCCTAAGCCTTTTACTGCACCTGCAAATCCACTGACTCAGTGACAGGGTGGGAGGACTCAGCCTTGGAGGGAAAAGAGGGAAAAGAGGGTAACACAGGTTATGAAACTGAATCCTGTTGCAATCATTCTTCATGATGAGGTCACAAAGGGCTTAGATTCACAAAGGGCTGTGTCATTTTACCCAGCAGCCCTTTGTGATTCTAAGCTGAAATGGTTTTGATGCACCAAATCTCAGGTATAATTGCTTGTGAAAATCTAAATCAGAGCTATAACCTGTCATCTTAATTATCATTTTCAACAACCAGTCTGACGAAACACTAAGTTCACATAAAACCAGAAATTTTATCTTTTTATCCATCACTAACTTTTTCATCCATCACTGGCATCTCTATTAAAGAGTGATGGTAATAAGCTCTTCCTAAGGGATCAGTAAATATATACAATTAACTTTGCTAATAGCCTAGTACAACAAACATTCTGTATTTTAACCTTATAGGGAAGCTCCATGAAAGGTTCATTCTTTTCTATTTATTCCCACCCTGTCACTCCACCCTTCCTGACCCACCCCCAAAAATATCTTGAACTTATCTTGCATAATGACAGAAAAAAATTTACATGTGTTATTCCTGACTGCTAATTCTTCTTAAGCAATTTTGGAGTGATCAGATTCAGGCAGCGTTTGGAAGCATTTTTCACCTTAATCAATTTTAACAAGCCTACAAGCAGAATCAAACAAGCAGGGTAATAATGGGACAAATAGTGACATTTGAACAACTAGGAAGTTTGATTTGTGTTCTTAACTATTTTCCAGACAATTCTGAAGTGCTGAAGGACAAACTTCATGACTTTTACCTCTCTTAAAAACAATGAACCTCTGAACACAGAATTTTTCATCTTTGAGCTTACATGACCAAGACCTAATTACATTCTTGTGGATTGCACCAAGAGTCTGGGGAAGGAAACTCATTTCATGCCTCATGACATTGTGTCAGTGAAGAGAAAGTCATTTTTAACTGGGGCATAGCAAAGACAAAGAGCCAGCGGGTGACATATTTTCCGTTGGTTTGAGTGGAATATCACATGGTCTGAAATTCTGAAGACCTAATAAAAAATAAAGTAAATTATTTTTAAAAAGTAATTCGGTAATAGAATTCATAATGCCAAAAGTCACAGTGAGACCACAGTATATTTAGGTTTTCTTTTTTACATGTATTTTCAGGCTAAACTTCAGGAGGGTGTTAATTTCTCAGTAATGAAATCACCCAGCAGAGCCAAGAATGAAAGATCTGTTACCATCTCTACCAAAGCTTTTCCTCTGGTCTTCTAACTTTGGCTCTTTCACCTATATGTATTATCTTTTCTTCATATTCTAATAATTTTCTTCATATTCTAATAAATATTTCTTAATATTTTAATAATAGGACAAAGCTCTAAAGTGACTTGAAAAATATTTTTATTTGTCCAGGGTTTTTCAAGAAAAATGTTTCCTTTCCTCCAGGAGAAGAAAATCCAGACTGGATCAGAAAGAGCCAGTAGGTAATTCAGTTTCCTAATCCACAAACAATGTAGATAAAGCATTTAGTCGGTGCTAGTGATAATTGTACTCTTCAGATACTTACTTGTCCCTGATGAAAAAAAATCTCAGGAATTAAATTCCCATTAATATAAAATTATATTTTTAATAAATTGGAAAAAAAAAATCTATGGCACTATTTATTCACATGATGGAGAGGTGAACTTTATCAGATGTAGAGATCTCCAGCTCATTACTGCAAATAGCCAGAAAAACATTTCTCATCCTTTACACAAACACATTGTAAAAATCAGCATGAAAAGCAGTGCCACATTCTAATTCTCAAGCCCTACTAAATAGCACCTGAGCAAGTAAGAAGCCTTTGAATCATTTCTGTCCTGTCTGCTTTTGTACACATTCCATGTGATACTAAAGTCAACAAATATTATTTATTTTTATCAGCAGAGAGAAAAATTAAAAATTCATAATTTCAGTTCTAAAGTTTTGTTTTCAGCTAGAAGGAATCAAGGAAACAAAAGAAGATAAAAGGTCTGAAAAAAGAGAACTTGTAGTAGAACTCTTCCATTTGGATTCCTGCAGAGACTTTTTCTTTTCAGAAGATCATACAGATTTGTATGAATCTTTGTTCATGTAATATGAATCTACCTATGTCTATATATTTTTTTATTTTGTCAACAGGGGACTTGGGTCAGATGGATAGATGACCTAAAACCTGATGACAAGTGTATCCCACTTGCCTGGTAATTCACCAGTAGAGTATTTTTCTGGTCCTAAGACTACTTGCTCAGGCATTTCTCGGGTTCACAAGACCTTATACTCTGCACCTATCTTGCTGTGCAGATAGATGGAAAACTTTCCAGGTCTATCACAGATCTGTGATTGTGGGGGAGCCTTCTGGCTGTGTAGTTTTCTGGGTTTCTTATGCAGATGCAGGTAAATCTTTCTTTCCCATGCTACCAAGG